AACCAGCACGCAGTTAGCATAGCCTAGTTTTACGTTGACCTTCAAGCTGCTCATAGGAGCCAGCACTTTGGAAGGCCCAGGCAGGGGGATCGCTTGAGCCCTTGAATTCGAGACCAGCCGGGGCAACAGGGCGAAACACCGTCTCTACCAAAAAGTACAAAACTCAGCAGGCGGGTGGCGCGCGCCTGTAATCCCAGCCATTCAGGAGGCTAGGGCGTCAGGACCGCTTGAGCCGGGATGGTCAAGGTTACAGTGAGGAGAGACCGTGCCAGACCATCTCTCAAAAGAAAAGAAAAAAGAAAAAATAGCTCATAGCAACGAAAAATCGGAAAAGGTGGCCATCGGGATTTAAATGACCCTCTGAAGCCCTCAGGGGCCCCACCACTGAGTGAGAATCCCCAGGCTCTGCTCAGAATCTTCCCACGCCCCGCCCCACCCCCACCCCCAACCCCAACCCCACCCCCAACCCCACCCTCCGCGCCCAGGGGCATTGAGCATGCGCAGACCCTTTCCGCCCACTTCCGGTGGAGCAGTTAACCACCGCGCGAGTCGAGTGTGAGCCTAAAACTCGAAAACCAGGGCATTCTGGGTTGAGTGTGGGTTTCAGTTCTGCGCCCCGCGGGGTTCCGTGGGTCCTGCACAGCATCAGGCCTGAGCCGCCGGTCCAGCTGCTCCAGGTAAGCCCGGAGGGCTGCAGGAAAGGCCCAGTAGGGCCTGGCAGGAGGATTACTTAACCCGGCAGGGGCCTCCTGAGTATCTGCTGTGCCCAAACCTCGGGGTCGCGACCCGTCCACGGCTGGTCTTCTCAGACTGTGGATCCTTTTGGTTGTTGCTGTTGTTTTTTCAGATGGAGTCTCGCTCTTGTTGCCCAGGCTGAAGTGCAGGGGCGCAATCTTGGCTCACTGTAACCCCCAGCTCCCGGGTTCCAGCGATTCTGCTGCCTGAGCCTCCCGAGTAGCTGGGATTACAGGCGCTAGCCACCACACTTGGCTAATTTTGTATTTTTAGTAGAGACGGGGTTTCAACATGTTGGCCCCTTTGGTGTCGAACTCCCGACCACAGGTGATCCGCCTTCCTAGGCCTCCTAAAGTGCTGAGATTACAGGCGTGAGCCACCGCCCCCCGCCGAATCCTGTTTTAAGAAGCGCAAGAACCCGCGCAGGCAGTGGGACCCAGATGATTGAATTTTGGAGAAGATTCTGGTGGGATTGTTAAGCTCCCACTCTACAGCGCCAGCACTTACTGGAGGATTTAGTGTTCTTCCGTCCTCACAAGTATCTGGCTGTTAGGAAACTGCTACGGATGAGAAAGTTTAGGCTACACTTTGTATCATCTAAAATATAGAGGTTGGATCTTGAGATCAGGGAATCTCCCACAGGTTTGATTTATTAGCTGAATATTCATTGAGCCCACACTATGGACCCTCACAAGAATCAGCGTAGGAGCCGGGCATGATGGCTCATATTTGTAACCCCCCAACACGTAGAGGCCGATGTGGTAGGATGCTTGAACCCAATTCTAGCTCAGGCTGGTGCCTGGGCAACATAGTGAGACCCCTGTCTCTACTAAAAAAATCTGGGCATGGGCACATGCCTATGGTCCCACCTACTCGGGAGGCTGAGGTGCGAGGATTGCTTGAGCCCAGGAGGCAGAGATTGCAGTGACCCGAGATCGAGCCACTGAACTCCAGCCTGGGCGACAGAGTGACATCCTGTCTCAAAAAAATAAATAAATAGTCCGGGCAAGGTGGCTCACACCTGTAATCCCAGCACTTTGGAAGGCCAAGGTGGGCGGATCATGAGGTCAGGAGTTCCAGATCAGCCTGACCAGTATGGTGAAACTCTGTCTCTACTAAAAGTACAAAAATTAGTTGGACATGGTGGTGTGCGCCTGTAGTCGCAGCTACTCGGGAAGCTGAGGCAGGAGAATTGCTTGAACCCGGAAGGCGGAGGTTGCAGTGAGCCGAAATCGCGTCATAGTACTACAGCCTGGGCAACAGATGGAGACTGTCACACAAAAGTAAAGTAATAGAGGTTGAATAATTTTTTCATTTGACAAGATCTCAAGCAGTGGAGGTTGAATCTTGAGAGTAGGGAATCTGCCACAGGTTTGATTTATTAGCCTAATAATTATTGAGCACACACTGTACACCAGCGTAAGACTCACCGTTGGTAATTCAGTTTTGAGGAAAATAAGGAAGAATTCAGACCATGAACAGTACTCTCCAGTGTCCTTAACCAAAGTTTGACCAAAATAAATATAAAAATCTCAACTATAATCTGCAGTATGATGGATCTGTGGAACCAGGAAAGAATAGAGTCCAGATGTTGGTGAGCCATTCCATTGGAAATAGGACAGTTATAGGATTAGAGTTGTGTTTGGAAACTATAGAATTATGGAATTGATAGAATAGAGCGTGTCAAAAATAAAGCCGCCGGGCACGGTGGCTCACGCCTATAATCCCAGCACTTTGGGAGGCCGAGGCGGGTGGATCACGAGGTCAAGAGATCGAGACCATCCTGATAAACAAAGTGAAACCCTGTCTCTACTAAAAATACAAAAATTAGCTGGGCATGGTGGTGCGTGCCTGTAGTCCCAGCTACTCGGGAGGCTGAGGCAGGAGAATTGCTTGAACCCAGGAGGCGGAGGTTGCAGTGAGCCGAGATTGCGCCATTGCACCCCAGTCTGGGTAACAACAGTGAAACTCCGTCTCAAAAATAAAATAAAATAAAAATAAAGCCAGACACTGGGTAGTCATAAGGACAGATTTTAATCAGTAATAGACAATTGCAATAGGGAGAATTCAGCATGAACAGAATTCAACTGTGATTTGTACAGAGGTGACCATGTCCTTTAAATGGGAACTGAGGGAATGAAGGTAGAGAGTAGGGGTTCAGTAGAGTCCGGAAGGTGAAAAATTACAAAAAGTGGGAAAGAGGTGGTTGGGTCATGTGAAACACACCTGGGTTTTGCTCATTGGCACTTAAGGAAGTCAGGCACCAACTCTGCCATAGATGCTGGGAGACAGAGGCCCTGTCTTCAGGCGTGAGATGGTTACTATAGTGGGCTAATGTTTATAGCTTGGACTGGAGAATGGCTTACAATGCTGTTCTTTTCACTTCATGGCCTAAGTTTGGAAGATGGGTTAGGGGAAGCTGGATTGTGTGGGGAAGGACCGACTATTGAGTTCCAGGATCTACGCAGGAATGTTCCCTGCACCTTTTTATTTTAAATGAAATACTGTCTCCCCCCCCCTTTTTTTTACAGCAATGTATTTCTTTCTTATGATTTCAAAAATTCCAGTTATATTTTTAATGTATTGACTGTACAGCTTTGTTCAGAATTCTTAAAACTTCCTCTTCAAATTTACCCAGCCCAAAGCACCCATTAAACATGGTGTTTTGAAACAAGGACTAGGAGCCTATGCAATGACACTGTTATTTATGAAAAAGTTAAATTGGAAGGTGGGAAGAGTTAAAGGATACATTATTATTTTAATTCTTTATTGAAAAATATTATAATTTTTAATATGTAATAATACCTTACCATCCCTTCAAAATTGGAATGTATATGACATTTTCTGCCTTACTACTGATAGGAGCAGTTAACACCTTTTCTAATTAGGACCAGTGAGTGATATAGTAGCTTTTAGACCAAAATAGTACTGTAATATATATACTACAGTACAGTAGTTCATGACATAAAAGTAGGCAGTTGGGCTACATTTCTAAATGCTCTTTTCACTTGGAAATTTTATAAGATTCTGAAATAGTATCTGTGTCAGTATCCCCAAGACCACCCCCAGGTTTGGTGATTTGCTGAATGATCACAGGACTCAACTTAGTATTATTTGAGGTTATGACTTTATTTTTTTGAGATGGCATCTTGCTCTGTCCAGACGGGAGTACAATGGCACAGTCATGGCTCACGGAAGCCTTGAACTCCTGGGCTCAAGGAATCCTCTCACCTCAGCTTTTCGAGTGCTGGGACTATAGGCACATGCTACCACGCCTGGCTGATTTTTAAAACAATTTGTAGTGATGAAGTTTTGCCCTCTTGCCCAGACGGTCTTGAATGTCTGGCCTCAATTGATCCTTCTGCCCTCAGCCTCCCAAAGTGCTGGGATTACAGATGCGAGCCGCCACACATGGCCAACAATTATGGTTTATTATAGTGAAAGGATACAAAGCAAAATCAGCAAAGGGAAATGGCGTGTGGGATGAAGTCTGGATGAAACCAAGCATAAGTTTCCAAAAGTCCTCTCTACATGAAGTCACACAGGACCTGCTTGATTTCTCTGGAGACAAAGTGATACAGGAGTGAACTGTTGTCTACCAAGGATGCTCTTTAAGATTTGTCTTTCCAGGGTTTTTATTGAGAAGAGGTCATGCAAACACCTCTATCTAGCTTATATCAATATTCTAGTTTCTCACCCGGTGCAGTGGCTCAGTCCTGTAATCCCAGCACTTTGGGAGGCCGAGGTGAGTGGATCACGAGGTCAAGACATCGAGACCATCCTGGTCAACATGGTGAAACCCCGTCTCTACTAAAAATACAAAAAATTAGCTGGGCATGGTGGTGGGTGCCTGTAGTCCCAGCTACTCGGGAGGGTGAGGCAGGAGAATTGCCTGAACCCAGGAGGCGGAGGTTACGGTGAGCCGAGATCACTCCATTGAACTCCAGCCTGGGTAACTCCGTCTCAAAAAAAAAAAAAAAAAAAAAAAAAATTCTAGTTTCTCAGAAGGAAAGCAGCTATTCACCATAAACCTCATTGTTTGTGTAAACACTGTAGGTATAGTGAGCCATTCTTATGAGGGAATGACAGGACCTATTTCCTCATAAGTTCCTCATAAATTCTGGAAATCAAAGTTGCCAAGTAGCAGCCTTGCAAGCAGCCTTATAAGGGAGCTCATTGTTTTGCACAATACCACTTGGTAAGCATCTGTTCTGGGTCAGGCACTATAACATCCTTACATGTCTTTTTTCATTTAATGCTTTCAGCTTGCTGAAGTAGAAACAAACTCAGAGAAAGTTGGTCAATGATCTAGGTAAGTGAATGTCGAAGTGTAACACCCATCCCTTTGGAGACCGCTATCTAATAATTCCTGTGGTATCTGTTTACATCCTCTTAACGTGGTTTTTTAAAAATTTAAAAATCTTAATTTTCCCCTTGTTAGATTATTTGATATGGTTACAATTTATGGAAGTCCATGTGGGTGGATTAAACAGAACACTATATGAAGCTCTTTAATAAAGGTTTTGAACGCTATGCATTAATGTGAATACAAGAGAAGATAGTGTGCTTAGGCTGGGTGTGGTGGCTCACACCTGTAATCCCAGCACTTTGAGAGGCCAAGGTCAGCTGATCACTTGAGTTCAGGAGTTCAAGACAGCCTGGCCAACATGGTGAAACCCCATCTCTACTAAAAATACAATAATTAGCCAGGCATGGTGGTGGGTACCTGTAATCCCAGCTACTAAGGAGGCTGAGGCAGGAGAATCGCTTGAACCCAGTAGGTGGAGGTTGTAGTGAGCCAATACTATGCCATTGCACTCCAGCCTGAGATACAAGAGTGAAACTCTGTCTAAAAAAGAAAAAAAAAAAAAAGACAGTGTGCTTAATGATTTAGTATCACACCAGTAGTTACACCAGTTACTATTGGACTTTGGATAAGCATATCAAATCTTTTTGTTTGTTTGTTTGTTTGTTTGAGATGAGTTTTACTCTTGTTGCCAAGGCAGTACAATGGCATGATCTCGGCTCACTGCAACCTCCACTTCCTGGCTTCAAGTGATTCTCCTGCATCAGCCTCCTAAGTAGCTGGGATTACAGGCGCCCAGCTAATTTTTTTATTTTTAGTAGAGACAGGGTTTTTTCATGTTAGCCAGGTTGGTCTTGAACTCATGACCTCAGGTGATCCACCCACCTCGGCCTCCCAAAGTGCTGGGATTATAGGCATCAGCTATCATGCCCAATCAAATCATACATTTAAATTCCCTGCCTGTCAGGTGTTGAACAATGAGAACACATAGACACAGGGAGGAGATCATCACACACTTTTGAGGGGGGAAATAGGGGAGGGACGGCAGGGGGTGGGGAGTTGGGGAGGAATAACATGGGGAGAAATGCCAGATATAGATGATGGGGAGGAAGGCAGCAAACCACACTGCCATGTGTGTACCTATGCAACAATCTTACATGTTCTTCACATGTACCCCAAAACCTAAAATGCAATAAAAATAAATAAATAATGCCATGCCTGTAATTGAGGATAAGAATCAAACCATCAGGGTTTGGGATTTTACCTTACTTGCAAGGTTTTAAGTTATCCTGTTAGTATTTTAGTGGATACTGCCAGAAGACATAACAGTCTTGGGTTGGAGACAAAGAACTTTATTACTTCTGACACAGCCAGCAGCATGAGCATCATGTTGGGGTTGGTTCCCCAGGCCTCCCAAGTCCCACTGAGGTGGTGCAAAGGGACCATGGTAGATGTCACACACAACATGGGTTTGCATCATAGCCAGTGAACCCTGAGCTTGGGAATCCATTTTAGCAAACCTGGTTCTTTGTCCCAAATTGACACTTACATCTTCTTTCAATGATGCTTCCTGCAAACACAACCATGAGAAATATCCTGGATAGAGTGGTCATAGTGGAATTTTGGCCTATCCAGAAGATCAGAGAAGGACACTCAAGGCCTATGACATATCTCCCAAATTGTTGTGAGGGTTTAATTAAGAAGATCGGTTATTGTGTGGAAAGCACTGTTCCTGACACATGGTAAACCTTACCAGAGAAGGTGACTTTTGGGCTGTTTCCAAAAATCCTGAGAGATCAGTCTTTGGGAAAAGGTGAGGAAAGGATCCTCTTGGTAAAGGAAATAGTGTTTGCAAAGATGAGAGATTTACATAGGATGGTTAAATGAATTCTGAACCGTGCTAGATCAGAGGAAGATCAGAGCTGTGAGTCAGTGTATGTTAGAGAATGCACTTTCACCACTCCATTTCTTCTAGCCACTGTCATCCACGTGAGTGCTCTTAAAGGGCTGTGCTGTGTCATTGCACACCGACATAGCACATCATGTGGAGCTCAGTGTGCAATGACATAGCACAGCCATTTAAGAGCACTCACGTGGATGACAGTAGCTGGAAGATCTGGGAAGTAATTTAGAGTCAAGGGGAAAAGGAATGAATTTACCTATAGACTGGGATTACTTGCAGGTGTATCTAGGAAGGCAGGACAAGTTCAACCCAACTTACTTTTCAAAGTTCCTTCGAAACTGAAAGCCTGATGTAGCTATGTGTTCTGCTGAAGTGTGTTGGATTGAAATAGGTGAGGAATGGAATGGAATGGATGTTAAAATATATGATAGCCGGGCATGATGGCTCACGCCTGTAATCCCAGCACTTTGGGAGGCCGAGGCAGGTAGATCACGAGGTCAAGAGATCGAGACCATCCTGGTCAACATGGTGGAAACCCCGTCTCTACTAAAAATACAAAAAAAAATTAGCTGGGCGTGGTGGCGCGTGCCTGTAATCCCAGCTACTCAGGAGGCTGAGGCAGGAGAATTGCCTGAACCCAGGAGGCGGAGGTTGCGGTAAGCCCAGGTCACACCATTGCACTCCAGCCTGGGTAATGAGCGAAACTCTGTCTCAAAAAATATATATATATATATATATATATATGATAACTACATATAACCTGTTTCATTAATTCTTTTATTTAATTTAATTAATTTTTTTTTTTTTTTTTTTTTTTAAGACATGCTCTGTCACCCAGGCTGGAGTGCACTGCTGCAGTCTCGGTTCACTGCAGCCTGGCCTCCTGGATTCAAGATTCTCCCACCTCAGGCTCCCAAGTAGCTGGGAGTACAGGCAAGCACCACCATGCCCAGATAATTTTTGTATTTTTAGTAGAGATGGGATTTCATGTGTTAGCCAGGCTGGTCTCGAGCCCTTGACCTCCAGCAATCCACCTGCCTTGGCCTCCCAAAGTGCTGGGATTACAGGCGCAAACCTTTCATTAGTTTGAAGATGAATGATTTTATTCATATTAGAATAATTACGAAATGGATGGAGTGCGGTGGGGCTCTCTTTTAATTTTGAACAGTCTCCCAGCCTAAATTTTATCTTTTATAGCATTGATATTGTTCTCTATTTGTATTAGTTTTGGGATTTTATTCATTCATGTATCCATTTGTTCATGATTCGCTTTTTTGAAGGTCTTTATTGCTTTTCTATACCTCCCTATGAATAAAATAGACTAAGTACCAACTTCCAGTCTATCTCATTCACCAGCTAAGGCCAAAAGAAAAACAAATACTTGAAAAAAACAATCTCCGATTATGGTTGAGTTCTATGAAAGTAAAAAATTGGTATAGTGAGAGACTAGAGGATGGGTGGGAGGCCGTCAGATTGAGGAGAAGCAGATAGGATGTGTGAGGTGACCCAAAGGAAAAGAGAAGTGTTTATAAGGATCATGACCCCTTCGCCAGTAAGTATTTAAAGTATGTATTTTCTAAGAATCAGGACATTTTCTTTTGTAGCCATGGTACAGTTAGGAAATTCAGGAAGCTTAATTTTGATGTATTACTAGTATCTAACAAATAGTGCGTACTCCATTTTTTCACTTTGTACTGTACTATCTACTTTATTGTAACTTATTTTTCCCAATCTAGAATCCAACCTAAGAGAATGATTTACTTTTTTATTTTTCCTCATGCATAAGGAAACAGGCTGGGTGTAGTGGCTCACACCTATAATCCCATCACTTTAAGAGGCCAAGGTGGGAGGATTGTTCAAAACCACCCTGGCCAACATAGAGAGACCCCATCTCTACAGAGAATTGCCTGAACCCAGGAGGTGGAGGTTGCGGTGAGTCCAGGTCGCGCCATTGCACTTCAGCCTGGGTAGCAAGAGCGGAACTCTACCTCAAAAAAAAAAAAAAATTAGGCCTGGTGGCACAAGCTTGTGTTCCCAGTTATCCTGGAGGCTGAGGCTACAGAGAGCCATGACTGTACAGCTGCACTCTAGCCTGGGTGACAGAGCAAGACCCTGTCTCAAAAAATAAAAAAGAGTAATTGCTGCTTTTTCTCCCAGCACTGTTGTCATTTGTGCTGTTAAGTACCATTTTCATGTTGAATCTTGTGTAAGTTGGATTTCTTCATAGTTTCCAGTTTCCTTGTGATTAGAATCAGATATGTTTTATATCTGATATGTTTATGTTATATATACATATATTAACATATACTTGTATAATATATTTTATGATTCTAATCACAAGGAAACAATGAAGAATCATTGTTATATACACACACATATATATATATATATATATTTTTTTTTTTTTTTGCTATTTCACTTATTTTTTTATTAGGGCAAGTGTATGTTCTGTAATATATTTCACTTGCAAGCATGAAAGATGAGGTCTCTGTCTCTCTCCACTGGCGCTCCCAGGGTCTGGTCACAATATGCCACCACAGTGGGGGCAAATCACCTTCTTTTAGGGCAAGAGGCAAAACCAGTCAGAGGACCACCAGGTGGCGTTTCCTCCTCCAGCTGTTTAATCTCTCATTCCCAGCTTTCTCCCCACCGTTTCTTCCCCTTTTCTCTCTTGGCAAAGTAATCAGGATACATTGCCTTCTGGCAAGGATGCCAGGCATTCAAGCAGTTTTCTGGAACCTTGTAACACTCGTATCTCTCATAGGAGGTACCCCCAGGAGAGTCAGGAAAGATGTATGGCTGTGGATGCTGACGGTACCAGAAATCTTCCTCAGTCTCCCTCAGCAGCTGGGTGGCCTTCATCATATCCTTTTCATTCTTATGTTCTTCAAACTGGGCACTCATCAAACAAGTGAAGTAGCAGTATTTGTCCCTGTGGACACACCACTACTCGAGGTGGCTCAGCGCCTGCTTATAAAACCACAACACCTTCTGCTGACGAATCAGGTAGGCCGCCGGCGCAGAGAACACCATGGTGGCGCTATACATATATTTTTATATATAATTCTGTATTATAGGGCAGGCTCAGCGGCCCACACCTGTAATCCCAGCCCTTTGGGAGGCTGAGGCAGATGGATCACATGAGGTCAGGAGTTCGAGACCAGCCTGGCCAACATGATGAAACCCCATCTCTACTAAAATTACAAAAATTAGCTGGGCATGGTGGCAGAGACATTAATCCCAGATACTTGGGGGGCTAAGGCAGAAGAATCGCTTGAACCTGGGAGGCAAAGGTTGCAGTGAGCCAGAACCATGCCATTGGACTCCAGCCTGGGAGACAGTGAAACTCCATCTCAAAAAATAATTTTATGTTATATATAATAGAATTTTTTTATATATAATTACATATAATAGAATTTTATGTATTATATATTCTGCAAAAGTTCTCCATAGATGTAATGCTTTGCTCTCCATTTCAGGTCATCTGTTTGTCCCATCATTTGTTCAGGTGGTATTCTCTAGATCTCTGCATTATAAAGGTACCTATATTTGTAATCAAAATATAATCCTAGAGGAAAATTTTTGAGAATGTGAATATCATTCTCTCATAAAATGTTACTCAGTAGTTTTTATAGTTAGTGATGATTCTTACCTGAGCCAATTATTATATTGTGATTCCAAATTCAGGAGATGTTGAAATTAAAAACCTTTTCTCGGCCAGGCGCAGTGGCTCAGGCCTATAATCTCAGCACATTGGTGGGCCAAGGTGGGCAGATTACCTGAGGTCAGGAGTTTGAAACCAGGCTGACCAACATGGAGAAACCCCGTCTCTGTTAAAAATACAAAATAATTTCACTGCGTGAAGTTATAAAAAAAAAAAATACAAAATTAGTTGGGCATGGTGGCGCATGCCTGTAATCCAAGCTACTCTGGAGGCTGAGGCAGGAGAATCACTTGAACCTGGGAGGTGAAGGTTGCAGTGAGCTGAGATTGCACCTTTGCACTCCAGCCTGGGCAAAAAGAGCAAAACTCTGCCTCAAAAAAAAAAAAATAAATTGCCAGGCGTGGTGGCTCACGCCTGTAATCTTAGCACTTTGGGAGGCCGAGGTGGGTGGATCACCTGAGGTCAGAAGTTCAAGACCAGCCTGGCCATCATGGTGAAACCCCATCTTTTTATTTAAAAAAATTTTTTTAAATAATAATAATAATCTTTTCTCACCCACAGAAATGATTTCTCTATTATAACCTGTGGCTAGCTTATTGAAGTAGAAAATCATTAAACTTAGATTCAGATGGGCTTATCTATAATAGAGCTGTAGGCTTTAAATTATTATCCTCCAAGCTAAGGAACAGGGGACTAAAGAGGACTTCAGTGGGTGTCATCGGCACGCCAGGCCAGTGAAACCTAAATCTGATCAATCTACAAGGTTCGGAAGGGGTATCCACTTCTCACTGGGTTTGAGCTCTATGGAGGCAGGACTGACCAAAGGGAGCTTACCTTATGCACTACCTTTGTTCACAGCTCAATGGATTTTGTGACAGCCCTGGCTAAACTCCAAGAGGCATCTAGCTGTCCCATCTGTCTGGATTACTTGAAAGACCCAGTGACCATCAACTGTGGGGACAACTTCTGTCGCTCCTGCCTCAGTGTATCCTGGAAGGATCTAGATGATACCTTTCCCTGTCCTGTTTGCCGTTTTTGCTTTCCATACAAGAGCTTCAGGAAGAACCACCAGCTCCGTAATTTCACTGAAATTGCTGAACAACTCCAGATTAGGAGGAGCAAGAGAAAAAGGCAGAAAGAGAATGCCGTGTGTGAAAAGCACAATCAGTTTCTGACCCTCTTCTGTGTGAAGGATCTAGAGATCTTATGTATACAGTGCAGTTTGTCCACTAAACACCAGAAGCACTACATTTGCCCTATTGAGAAAGCTGCCCCTTATCACAGAGAAATTCTGGAAGGTAGCCTTGAGTCCTTGAAGAATAATATAAAACGAGTTGAAAAAGTGATAATTCTGCAAGGCAGCAAGTCAGTGGAGCTGAAAAAGAAGGTAGAATATAAGAGGGAAGAAATAAATTCTGAGTTTGAGCAAATTAGATTGTTTTTACAGAATGAGCAAGAGGCTATTCTTAGGCAGATACAAGATGAAGAGATGGACATTTTAGCAAAACTAAATGAAAACCTTGTAAAATTTTCAGATTATGTTTCTATATTAAAACATCTACTGAGGGAGGTAGAGGGCAAGTCTGTGCAGTCAAACCTGGAATTACTGACACATGTGAAGAGTATACACAACAGGTATCAAAACCTAAAACGCCCTGAACTCTTTTCATTTAAATTAACAAAATATGGTTTTAGTCTTCCTCCTCAATATTCTGGCTTGGACAGAATTATCAAGCCATTTCAAGTAGATGTGATTCTAGATCTTGACACAGCACATCCTCACCTTACTGTCTCTGAGGATAGAAAAGCTGTGCGATATGGAAGAACAAAACCAAACATTTGTTACAACCCAAGGAGATTTTATGCCTGCCCTGCTGTCCTGGGCTCTCAGAGATTTTGTTCTGGCCGACATTACTGGGAGGTAGAAGTGGGAAACAAGCCTAAATGGATATTGGGTGTATGTCAAGACTGTCTTCTTAGGAACTGGCAGGATCAACCATCAGTTCTGGGTGGATTCTGGGCAATTGGGCTATATATGAAGAGTGGTTACGTTGTGTCAGGTCCTAAGACAACCCGGCTTCTGCCAGTAGTAAATCCCAGTAAGATTGGTATTTTTCTGGACTATGAATTGGGTGATCTTTCCTTTTATAATATGAATGACAGGTCTGTTCTTTATACTTTCAATGATTCTTTCACAGAAGCTGTTTGGCCTTATTTCTATACTGGAACAGATTCCAAACCTCTTAAAATCTGTTCAGTATCAGATTCTGAAGGATAAAAAACTGGTAAATGAGTCTGTTTCAGTTTTCGTGGGTAACTTAGCCAGTAAATTTAATCTCATTTCTGGAATAATTCTGAAAACCAGAGTAACTTTTTCTCCTAAATTTTCGGCAACTGTAAAAACATGTTCATTGGGGGAGGGGGTTTAAATTTTTAAAAAAAGAAATTTAAAAAGAAAAAAGGTCAGCTGCAATGGCTCATGCCTGTAATCCCAGCACTTTGGGAGGCTGAGGCAGGTGGATCACAAGGTTAAGAGTTCGAGACCAGCCTGACCAACATGTTGAAACCCCATCTCTAAAAAATGTAAAAAAAAAAAGTTCAAGACACATTCATATATGCTATGAATATCAGTTGTCAAGTGCTATGATTTCTAATATAAAATATTTGAGAATTATATTAACATGTCCAATAAAATGTTTTCAAATTGCCTGTAAATGTTTTTAGTTAAGCCAATTTAAAGTTGTATACATTATTTAAATATCATATTTGCCACATACCTTTCTTTCTAACTGATTCTTGTTTACCTCCATATTTCTCATCAATTTTTTTCTGTTCTTTCATGTGTGTCAGTTGAAATAATTGACTTATTTTTGTGGATAATGAGGATTTCACTTTGTTTAAATTATTTCTCCACATACACTTACCCACAATCCATAATCTCTAACAGCTCTTTTTTTCTTTCTGCGTATCACCTCTACTAGCCCAGTACAGCTGCCAGCCTTCCAGTCACTACCATGCTAGGAATTGACCTCTGTTCTTGGATTCTTTCTTGGCTTCAGTGTCTGCTTTCCTCTTTATCTTTTCATTTTGGGGTGTCATCAACCCAAATGTTGCAGCATTGTAAAGTTTGGCAGACTACAAGTTTGCAAATGATTTCACCCATATTTAGGTGACAGTTAAAGAGAATGTTTGGAATCGTTTTAATTTTTAAGCCATGATGGTTTTGATAAGTCTGATATCAGTCTGATTCTTGATGCTCTGATACCACTGTTTTTCATAATCTAGATCTTGACACAGCACATCCTCAACTTACTGTCTCTGAGGATAGAAAAGCTGTGCAATATGGAAGAACAAAACCAAACATTTGTTATGACCCAAGGAGATGGTATGCCTGCCCTGCTGTCCTGGGCTCTCAGAGATTTTGTTCTGGCCGACATTACTGGGAGGTAAAAGTGGGAAACAAGCCTAAATGGATGTTGGGTGTGTGTCAAGACTGTCTTCTTAGGAACTGGCAGGATCAGCCATCAGTACTTGGATTCTGGGCAGTTGGGTGATAATAGGAAGAGTAGCCCTAGTGTTTGAACTTTGTTTTACTGAGTAATTAAAGCTTAGTTTAGTTTCCCTTATCCAAAATGCTTGGAATCAGAAGTGTCCGCTTTCTGGTTTTTTGGGGGGATTTTGGAATATTTGCTTATGCACGGTGAGATATCTTAGGATGGCACCTAGTTGAAACAAAACATTCATTTTATATATGCCTTATACACATAGCCTGCAGGTAATTGTATAAACAATTAAAAAGAGAGAAATATAAATTAAAGATAATTTTAGCTATGTGGTTATTAATTATGCTGATGCTTTCATGTATGATACATATGTCAACACTTCTAAAATTGTACACATTAATTTGCACTTCATTTTGTGTCTATTATATCTCAGTAAAGCTGTTTTAAAATGTCCGGGGAGAGGGCAGGAAAAATAAAAATAAAACTGGGCCGGGCGCGGTTGCTTATGCCTATAATCCCAGCACTTTGGGAGGCCGAGGCGGGTGGATCACAAGGTCAAGAGATCGAGACCATCCTGGTCAACAAGATGAAACACCATCTCTACTAAAAATACAAAAATTAGCTGGGCATGGTGGCATGTGCCTGTAATCCCAGCTACTTGGGAGGCTGAGGTAGGAGAATTGCTTGAACCCAGGAGGCGGAGGTTGCTGTGAGCCGAGATCGTGCCATTGCACTCCAGCCTGGGTAACGAGCGAAACTCCGTCTCAAAAATAAATAAATATGTCTGGGAAACTTTACCAAAGAAGGCTAAATCAAAATGACAATGAATAAACATTAATTGACATCTGAATTTTGAAAACAAATTATAGATCGATTTTAAATGACTATACTTTTAAATTTTAATAACAATATGTGATTATATAAAAGACCTTATTTGTAGCCATTAAAGTATCAGGAGGAAAGTTCTGGAAATGTACTTTCAAATGCTTTAACAAAGCAAATGAACAGGAAAACAATGGCTATAAAGAGAAACATTTTATCTTGTGACACAATTTTTTCTTTGACTATGACAACCAAAACTACAGGCAACAAAAGCAAGAAGAAACAAGACCACCTCAGACTAAAAATCTGCACAGAAAAGGAAGGAGTCGGCAAAATGAAAAAGCAAAGTATGGACTGGGAGAAAACATTTGCAAACCAAACACATGATCACAAGTTAATATCCAGGCCGGGCGCGGTGGCTCACGCCTATAATACCAGCACTTTGGGAGGCCGAGGCCAGTGGATCACAAGGTCAAGAGATCGAGACCATCCTGGTCAACAAGGTGAAACCCCGTCTCTACTAAAAATATAAAAATTATCTGGGCACAGTGGTGCGTACCTGTAATCCCAGCTAGTTGGGAGGCTGAGGCAGGAGAATTGCTTGAACCCAGAATGCGGAGGTTGCAGTGAGCCAAGATCATGCCATTGCACTCCAGTAGTCTGGGTAACAACAGCGAAACTCCGTCTCAAAAAAAAAAAAAGTTAATATCCAGATGTATAACAGTATTTATTCAGCCTTTAAATAGAAGGAGCTCCTCTTTCTAGCCCCGGCCCTGACCCTACAGCTGCTGAGATCTTGATGCCTGAGAAGAACCGGATTGCCATTTATGAATTCCTTTTTTTCCCCCGAGAGACAGAGTCTTGCTCTTTTGCCCCGGTTTGGAGTGCTGAGACACAATCTCTACTTACTGCAGTCTCCGCCTTCAGGTTCAAGCAATTCTCCTGCCTCAGCCTCCAGAGTAGCTGGGATTACAGGTGCACACCACCACACCCAGCTAATTTTTGTATTTTTAGTACAGATGGGGTTTCACCATGTTGGCCAGGCTGGTCTCGAACTCCTGACCTAGTGATCCACCCACTTTGGCCTCCCAAAGTGCTAGAATTACAGGTGTGAGCCACCGCACTCGACCCTGAACTCCTTTTTAAGGAAGGAGTCATGGTGGCCAAGAAGGATGTCCACATGCCTAAGCACCCGGAGCTGTAGAACAAGAATGTGCCCAATCTTCACGTTATGAAGGCCATTCAGTCTCTCAAGTTCCATGCTACGTGAAGGAACAGTTTGCCTGGAGACATTTCTATTAATACCTTCCCAAAGAGGGAAGGTACCTCCATGATTACACCCAGTATCTCCATAATTACCTGCACATTGGGCCTGCCACTCTACACTGCAGCCATCCAGAGACTGACGCCTCGGCCTAAAGGTCTGGAGGGTGAGCCCCCTGCAAGACACAAGAGGGGAAGCCGACAGATACCTACAGATGGTGTGCTGTGCTCCCTGAAGGCGACAGGAAAGCTGAGGCTGGGGCTGGGTCAGCAACCCAATTCCAGTTTAGAGGCAGATTTGGTGGTGGTGGTCAGCCACCTCAGTTAAATTGGAGAGGATTATTTTTTGTTGAATAAACTTATGGCCAAAGAAAAGGAGATCCTGTCATTTGTGACAACATAGATGGGCCTGGAGGATATTATGCTGAATGAATAAGCCACACACAGAAATAAAACTATTGCATGATCTCACACATGTGAAATCTAAGAAGATTGAATACATAAAACGGGTAGAATGGTGGTTACTAGGGGCTGGGAGGGAGGGGAGCGGGGAGATGTTGGTCAAATGGCACAAAGTTACCATTATGCATGCTGTACAAGTCTAGCTAGTCTCCTGCACCCAGATGATTGCTACTTAGACCAAGCTGTCCAACCTGCAGCCCACAGGCTGCATGTAGCCCAAACTGCTTTGAGTGCAGCCCAACATAAATCCGTAAACTTTCTTAAAACATTACTTTTTTTGCTTTTTTTTTTTTTTTGAAACGAGGTCTTGCACTGTCTCCCAGGCTGGAGTGTGATGGCACGATCTTGGCTCACTGCAAACTCCGCCTCCCAGGTTCAAGCGTTTCTCCTGCCTCAGCCTCATGAGTAGCTGTGATTACAGGTGTGTGCCACCATGCCCAACTAATTTTCTTTTTCCTTTCTTTTTTTTTTTTTTTTTGTGTGTGTGTATTTTTAGTAGAGACGGGGTTTCACCATGTTGGTCAGGCTGGTCTCAAACTCCTGACATCATGATCCACCTGCCTCGGCCTCCGAAAGAGCTGGGATTATAGATAGGCATGAACCACCATGCCCAGCCTGCATTTTCTTTTTAAGGTCATCAGCTATTTGTTAGTGTTAATGTAGTTTATGTGTGGCCCAAGACAATTCTTCCAATGTGGCCCAGGGAAGCCAAAAGATTGGATATCCTTGACTTAGACTGAGGCCTTAGCTTGATCTTAGCCACTTCCCCAGGAAGCCTTCACTGGCGGGGTAACACTAGGGGAGGTGAACCTGTCACCTGCTCCTGTAGTCCACTGTTCTCAGCATCAGAACACCCAGGACTGCGGGGCACAATGGTTCACTCGTATAATCCTAACCTTTGGGAGGCCACAGGACCATCACTTGAGCCCAGGAGTTTGAGAAATCAGCTTGGGCCTCATAGTGAGATCCCAGCCTCCACAAAAACATGGAAAACATTAGCCAGGCACGGTGGCTCATGCCTGTGGTCTTAGCTCTCTCAAGGTTGAGGTGGGAAGATAGCTTAAGACTGGGAATGGAAGAGACTGCAGTGAGCCCTAATTGTGGCACCGCTCAGCAGCGCCCAGGTGAGGTGATAGAGTGAGACCCTGTCTCAAAAACAAACACCATACTCAGGACATCTAGTAAAATGGCTCTTGCACTGTCAGTCCTGTGACTAGATTTATAAATGCCCAGTGAAAGCAGAGATTGAAGCTATCCAACTGTTTGACCAAAGGCTTAGTTAGCATAGTATCTTGTACTGTAATGGTTTATAGAGTAAACTAATGAAATTAATGCCGCAGGAAACAGCCCAGGGCACTGAAGAAAGTGCTTGTGTTTTACAGGAAAGCTCTTTGACCCTGGAGGGGAAAAGATGCAAATTCAGGACACTCAAGAGGGAGTGGGAAGACTGGCTGCCTGGCTGGCCCTATTTCATTTCTGTAGGTGAGAAGAGGTGTGTCCAGCCCCCTGCTGGCTCCCCTCCTCTGAGGCCCCTCTTCCTGTCAAGTTACCTGCATTTTTTTCCCTCCCACTCTTAATGACAACCAGTCCCTCCAGGCCCCATTTTCTCTTTTCCTCTCTTCTACATGCTGGGCACCCCAAATCATCTACTTAGGGAGACTGGAGCTGTAAAAAAAGCAAACTGGATTCAAGTAGACGTTCCATGGGTTGGAATCCAGAATTCCTGCTTACTTCCTACCGGCGTACCCTGGTTGGCATAGATCA